GAAAGCTACAAGATCTTATGATGGTCTGTTCTCTTTCTTCTGCAGTGGATGTGCTGTGGCCCCAAGGTCTTCAACATCTGATATTTTGAAGGAAGATAACGTTCCAAAATTTAAAAATTACTGGTCTGTCAATATCTTCAGTTTGAGTTCACAGGATATGATCCATTTTTAGGAGATGTTTCAACTTCTTCCTTTCCCATACAAAAAAAAAAGTCTTTCCTCAGATTTATAAGAACTGCACCCTTGACTTTGATGTTCAGGTTTTGTCATGATAACATAGTCACCTGTTCTCGTGATGGTAGTGCAATTATATGGATTCCACGTTCCCGTAGATCTCATGTGAGTTATCTAAACCAATGCCTGTGGACAATGCATGCTTCTTTTAGTGATAGGATTCCTTGGAATAACCGTTTTGAATGTTATATTGAGTGGAGTTTGCTTTGTTGTAATTTAGTTTAATGCTTATAAATTTTAAATTTGTTAACTAGCTCTTCCTTTCATGCAACTTTTTCATTGTTAAGGGAAAATTTGGACGCTGGACGCGGGCATATCATCTAAAGGTTCCACCTCCCCCACTGCCTCCTCAACCACCTCGAGGAGGCCCGCGCCAAAGATTGCTTCCAACTCCTCGTGGTGTCAATATGATTGTGTGGAGCCTGGATAATCGCTTTGTGCTTGCAGCTATCATGGGTAAAGTAGTGACTTATGAAGACCCATCTATTGAAGGATTAGCATTAATAAAAGAGCCATTTTCTGACACTTCTTTGATGCAGAATAAAGTAACTATAGATTATCTAAATAGATTATAAATCATAAATTTTTAAATTTAAAACTATTAAACTATTTAGGAATCTATTATTATAATTATAGTAACTTTAGGATTTTATTCTCATTAGTATTAAGCTTTCCTATTTCTATTAGGAGTAGAATTTCTACTTAAACATCCTTTAAGTGAGAAGCCTAGGTGTAATTCACTTTGGGATGGGGTGATACGTAAAGTGTCTAGGTGGTTAGAGCTTGAAAACGGCTCTATTTGTGATGGTCAGACTTGTCTATCTAGCATCACTTTATGCCACATAAAGTGGGAGACTAGAGGGAGTAATGAGAACATTTCTATAGTAATGTTGGAGAGGAACAGAGATCATTTGGTGAATTAGGAGGTGTGTTGTAAGTCTAGAACGTTTAAAGGTTTGGGTATTGAGAATTTAAAATCTAGGAATTTGTCATTGTTGGCTAAGTGGTTATAGGGTTTTCTGTAGGAACCAAATTCCTTGTTGCATAAAATGATCAAAATATCCATGGAACTCAATGGGATGGATGGGATGCAATGGCCAGGAGATCCACCTAGCTCAAAGCCCACGCAAAGCCATCTCTTGCTTGTTACCCCCTAAGTACATAATTTCCTTATTTATTTTGAATTTCTTCACGCCACAAAGGCCCAAGTGACTAGTTTTCTGCCTCACCAATGGTAACGAAAGTTGAAACTTCTACTTTTTTTTTTTCACAGCTTGAATGACAGAGAAACTGGAGAACTCCTTAGCCTATTGAGCCTATTAGAATTTTTCCAATCATCCTAATAGTCAGATAGCAGGGTGTTGTCTCTAGATTTATTAGGTACATTCACTTCTAAATCCTTCTTCAACGGCATTCTGACAAGTTAAGGATCTTTCTAAAGTGAAGGTGTTCTGTGGACTGCAGTTACAAGTTCCATGGACTGCAGTTACGATTAAACACCAATGAGCTGTTACAAGTTCGTAGTTCTGATCGAGTTTTGTCTCCAATGTGTGTAATGTGCTGGAGAGGGATGGAAACATATGACCATCCATTCATTCAATGTAAGGTGGCATGGAAGCTATGAACAACCTTGGATAACACCTCCCTCGGAATGTATAGATTGAGAGAACAAAAATAGAGAGAATATTTGAAGAGTGACTTTTCTGATCTTATGCTTCTCCAGACAGTACTTTACATAATGTCAATTTATAGGATACAAGAAGTGAAAAATATTTCTTCTTAGGAAATGTATTTTTTGGGGTTGTTATGGCTAGGATAGCAGGGAGGAAACAGGGGAATCAGCAGAAATCACCCTTCAGGTAAGATACATTTCCTAGATTCTAGAACAAAAAATGAATTTTCCTAGGATATCTTTCTAATGAAAAGTGGTATAAGTATTACAATTCTATCATCAAGAAAGTCCATATTAGCATGGATATCTCTTTTCTAGAAAACACCCCTTATTCCAACTAAAAATTTCTTTAGGAGGGATAATTTTTGGGAAATGTCTATTCCACTACCTAATAAAATCCTTGAAACCTCATCTTATGAACATCATGTTGTTGGAAGTAAAGGAAACTTATATAAAGGAAATAATGAGGATCCTAGTCAAGAAATCAAATATAGATGTATCTACAACAAGGGAGAAATACTACGAAAGGATCATCATAATTTTAATTATGAGCTTATGGTTTATAATAGAAAAAAAAAGTCATGAAAGGAATAAAGATTGGGCTATTATCCCAATACAGAATCAATCAAAGCCCGAGGGGATGATTCCCCAGATATTTCAGGTAATTCCATCTATTCCAATTTTAATTGTATCTCCTACTCTAGTCTCTATAACTTCATCAGGTGATCTTTTTCGGACCTTGATATGCTTGTAGCGTAAGAAAAGGAATCCAAATTTGCACAAAATATCTTATTGTCAAGTATAGCTCTGACAACAAAATTTTTGGGAATCATAGAGCATTTACCTCCTGTTTAGAAATTTTCAGGAAGCCCTAGGTGATCTGAATTTTCCAGGCTGGTGGTACTTGAGATGAATTTTCTTGAAAACCAAAACTTAGGAGATTTATTTGCCAAAAGACAAGAAGATCATAGATTGCAAATGGGTGTTTACAGTTAAATGCAAAGTTGATAAAAGTGTGGAGAGATACAAGACAAAACTTGTTGCGAGGAGCTCTACTCAAACCTACAGAATAAATTACGATAAACTTTTTGCTCCAGTTGCCAAGATAAATTCAACCCAAATACTATTGTTATTTTCTATGAACTCTAATTGGCATCTATATCAATTGAATGTAAAAAATGCATTTCTTAATGGAGATTTGGAATATGAAGTTTTTATGAATACCATCCAGTTTTCAAGAAAGATATATATTCCAACAAATTTGCAAGTTAAAGAAGTCTATTTATGGCCTCAAATAATCCCATAGAACATGGTTTGAACACTTTTGCAAAGTTATAAAAAGTCATAGCTATTGTCAAAGTGAAGCCGATATAGTGTTTTTAAATATTCACTTGAAGGTAAAATTGCTGTTTTAATTATTGATATGGATGATGTAATCTTGAGAGGAAATGATGATATTGAGCTCAACAAACTAAAAGGAAACTGACTTATGTTTTTGAGATCAAGGACATGGGTGCAGTGAATTATTTCCTTGCGGTGGAATTTGGGAGAGAATGTGTTATAAATCACCACTTTGTAGGTTATTATAGACGAATGGTGCCAATCCATAATATTTAATTCAGCGAGATCAAATGTTTAACTTATTAATGTGTTGGTGATTGGGAAAAATCAGAATGCATTTATAGAAAGTAGCCAAATCCTTGATGCTGTTATGATTGCCAATGAAATTGTTGATTAATTGGTGGGGCAGAAAAAAAGGGTATCATTTGTACAATTGACATGAAGAAGACTTACGACCATGTGTGTTCGGATTTTTGTGAACTATATGTTGGAGAGGATGAGTTTTTGCTGTAAATGGAGGAAATGGGTCATGAACTGTATTTCTACAACCTTGTTTTCTGTCATGGTGAATGGAGGTCCGTCGACATTCTTTAAGGCTTCAAGAGGTCTTCGCCAAGATGATCCTTTGTCACCTTTACTTTTCCTTACGGTTATGAAAGCATTCAGCAAGTTGATGGATAGGGCGAGGTGGTTGAATGTGTTGAAGGGTGTTGAGGTAGGGAGTGAGGATATAAGGGTGAGGCTGTCGCACTTATTTTTCGCGGATGATGCATTAATTTTTTGTGAACCGGATCTGCAGCCATTGCTGCATTTAAGGTTTTGCTTTGTTTTGAAATGGTGTCCATACTTAAAATTAATATGAGGAAGATGAAATTGGTAAGAATTAGCGATAGAGGGGATGAAAGGAGTTTGGCTACGGTGTTGGGATGCAAGGTCACTACTTTACCAATCAAATACCTTAGTTTACTACTTGGGGTTAAATTCAAAGATGTGAAAACTTGGAAGCCTATTATGGACTTGTTTGAAAAAAGGTTGGCAAGATGGAAGAAGAATTTCCTATCAAAAGGGGGTATACTCACGTTGATCAAGAGTACCCTTTCAAATTTACCAATATACCAACTTTCCATTAACCATC